TAGAAAGATAACAATTTCCCTCCATCCTTGCGAACGGTGCAATCAGGAACCCTCCTCCAGAGTTGAGACGGCTGGAAGAGTGAGACGGCCAGTTCCTTAGACGATTCATACAAAGGGCTATCACTAAGTCACCTTGTCTTGGTAGATATCTCCATCATGAAGCCCGGCTAAGGCAAAATGTTCTTCCTGAAATTCGCGCTCAAATGCGACATAATTTTGAGGAAACCATTCGAATTCCTAAAGTAGCAACGACAAATATCGCCTCAAGATGATGATTTTTCCAGAAGTAGGTTTTTCGACCAGCCATACATCGAGGACTCCAGACTGCTATGGCGCTCAACGGCGTGGTAAGGGAAATGTTCCTTGATAGGAGTAGTGGATGCTGACTCAGTTGGGTGGTGAGAAGTCAATAATCGGTCACACTGATATCAAAGATATCGCTAGGGACGTTGTGAAGGATACAGGACAAGCTTTGTATTAGAGTAGATCTTTGCACAGAAGCACGCCATATTTGACAGGCTCCATTTCGGGAAGTTTGAAAGCTTGACAGAGAAGCTGAAAGATGCGATGGCACCGCTCGATCACGACTTGAAGGTCGCTGGTATGGCCAATGCTTGCCTGATACTCATGTGTGATGAGATAGCCCATCGGACTAGTGGATGCAGTTTTCTGTGGATATTCTTGTTCTTGTTAATGAGTCAGTAAGAACTTCAACATGCTCAGTCTTCAGGGTTAGCCGCCAAGTTCTCACTCTGAGACTAAGAGCCTTAGACTGTGATTACTGTATGGACTGAGAGTCTCAGTCAATACAGTAATCGTACAATTGACTTTGTACTAGTAAGGATGATAAGTACAACAATAATCTAATATGGGATGGATGTATGTGTGAAACATTACCTCGCAAGGATCGATGCATTTCGGTCGAAAAGATGGGAAGATTTACAGTGAAAAGGATTCCCCAGCTTTATAATCATCCCTATGAAGACCCATTCCGCCACTGAAACAACCTCGAGGAAGAAAAAAGGGTCCTCTGGTCAATCTGTCTGTCGTGGTATTTTGCAGTGTTGGTCGAGGAAGTTACCTTTGATAAGCTCTCCCACGAGCAATGAAGCAGGTATGCTATTGACCATTCCCTCGGGCGTTCACACACATAGTAACGCGTTCGTAGTACGAATCCCAGCTCTCAGTGTTCTCCTGTGCGTTGCTACTACTAGCGAACTCAAGACGAGACCTCACTAAACACCGAAGGCGATAGCGTCAATCATCTTAGGCAAATACGTAAAGCTCAAAATGGTGAATTTCTCCATCAAGAAAATAGTGACGAACTGCGATAGTTCTAACTTCGCCCTGACCCTTTGGCAGTCTCTATGAACCTTTGGACTTTGGACCTCAGCTCGGTGCGTGTTGACGTGTGCGAGGTTGATAGTGGGCAAAATACAGCCGTAGGTCGCATTAAGCCCTATCTATCAACCGGTCAAAATCCATCGAGATCTGGCTCATCGGGGAACTACTTTTCCCCGATCCTCGTGGGACAACTAGTTGTGCCACACGTTGATATTCTTCGCACGCCCAACGAAACGCTCGGATTCGCCTCAGTTATAACAAGTCCGAGACGCCATTTGGCTAGTTCGGCCTCTCGAGACTTGTTTTCTTTCCCCATCCCAAACCCGCCCGGGACATTTCTCCTCTCATGCCCTATCTTTCACTTGACAATGCTCCGGCTCACCGTCAGCCAGCGATCATCAAGTCAGATATCCATATTCCAGTATCGTGCTTCCAGCCGCCACCACCACTGTGTGGAAGCTGTGGCCACCACGACCAACAGCCCATAAGGCTGCATCAGGCCAGCAGCCTCGGTTGGAAGCATGCAAGACGCTCCCAGATCATCACAGTCCTCTTTTCGTGAGCGTCACGGCCAATCATGAATATGCTTGTCGAGCCAGCCTCGACAATGCATCAGCATCGGCCGCATACCTGCGGGATGTGACTGGCTCCTACAGCTGTGGTCTGGTGGACGAGAGACTGACTCTTGCACAAAGTCTCCGTCATGTCCGCCGAGCGAGTTCGGCTAGCACCGAACCACAGCTCAATGGGTATACTCGTTCGACAGACGATGTACTCGAATGGATAAGGGAGCTAGCCCTGAACCCACTCAGCCGTAACCTTCGCGGGTTCGACACCTCGTGCCGTCGACAAAAACTTGCTACGGTTGCGGTCTGTCCGCCTCTCTCTCACCCTTCGTCTGGACAGCCCGTGATCTCGTAGTGGATTTTGCCATTGGTAATTTGAGTGCACAGCCCTTTCTGGAGCTCCGTCAAGACGTCAACACCTGGATCGTCGTGAAGCTCCCACGTGGGCACCCTTCAAATGTTGTGTATAAATGTGTCACGACTCGCATCTCGCATTGGGATGGTATATTAGAGGAAACGGATTGAACCTAGAGCCGGCTTTCTCTGTGTGGCAGAGATATCACTCAGCGAGGCCAGGACTGGTGAGACAGCGCAATGAGTTGTAGTTGAAGGATTTGCATGTGTTAGAAGTCAACAAGTCGACTCAGGATTCCACTGTAGTTAAGTTGAAGCGAGCAAATGAGCGGATACAGTCGCTGAGCAGAAGAACTCTATCATTCGATTCGTCTGTAGGAAAGAACTGTTTCGCCCCCTTGAAGGCGGTGGACTGTTTCAACTCAAGTCTCAGCACTCTCGAATCTTGCGACCAACATCATAGCGAGTTCACGGTAGACAGTCGCACAGCAGAGTTCTCTGGTATGAGGAACATAGGCTAGACGGAATAGGGAGGCGTTATTGATCGACTCTCACAGGATCATGATTATCATCAACACCGAGTGGCGTCTGTTTTTACTGATACCCGAGACACCCTTGAATGAGAAATTCCACGAGGATATTGGACACTTGTGGAGAAAGCTGTTGTCGTGACAGTGAAGTTGACAAGGAGACGCACCAGAGGAAGACAGTGTGTCCGAGTGGTTAAGGGAATGGACACATGATGCATCGAGCGTGATCCGCGGAGATTTGATCCTCACAGCACATATTCACACATCCCACTGCCGAACACCAAGCACTCCATGACGTTCAGGAAAAGTCAATCACATACCACCTTCGAAAAATCGAGACCATCACATGTATACTCTCACAATAACGTCATTCTTCATATACTGGGTCATAATCACCCAAGCAAACTCCCGCCTGAAATCGACACCACTTCAGTGTCAAGAACCAACGAGCATCCTGCCTTGCAGAGATCTCTCGTGATGTTCTTCTGGTGAGCCTCCAGCGTTCCTCCACCTATCTCCAACAACTTGGCATCGCGCCAAAGCCTCTCCACCACGTATTCACCGACGTAGCCGTACCCTCCAAGACACTGAAACATCGAAATCATTCATCTCGAACAGTCTAGCGGAGCGATGCACTCGATGTTACCTATGGGCGTACGCATGTGCATTCCGGATTCAGTCTGTCCCGAATTGACTGATACCAATTCTAGCGTGTTGAATTCATAATGGGCATTCCCAGATCGCTCACTGACTTCCCACCTGCATCGCTCGATCAGCAACGTCCTTAGCCATCGTTGTAGCAAACAACTTCACACCATCAGAATCCGATCGAGACCCACTCGCCGTGTCCAGCCTCAACTGCCCAGCAACCATGTACCTACACACACACCATCACGACCAATGACTTCCCTGGTTACCCTACACGTATGCGCGGGCAGCAGCCCATTGGGCATACGACTCTGCGAAATGGCGTTGGATCTGGCCAAATTCTGCCAGGGGTTTTCCGAATGATTTCCGTTCTTGCGTATAGGTAAGCATAACATCCAGGCACCTTATAGGGAAATGAACCTCACTTCTCTAAGAAGGCTACCTCCTCGCAATTCCCAGGCTCATAGCTGCTAAAGTGACTCGCTCTATCTCCAGATTCCTCATCATCGGTACCACTCCTTTTCCTAATCGTCAACCAACAGCACGCGGACTCATCGAGGAGTGTACGCCTACCGAGCTCCCCGACCAGATTCTCCCGTGGTATTTTAACGCCTTCAAAGATCAACTCCGCCGTGCTGGATGCCCGCATGCCGCACTTATCGCCTATCTTCTGACCTACTTTGAATCCTGACAAGTCAACCTCAAGATACCATCGCTATCTCAATCCTGACCACCTTCCATATGCTTCTCCACAAGGAACAAAGAGAGCCCCTCGGGCGCCTTAGCGTAAACCTATACAGTAA